CCATTTCAATCAATTGTAAATGGCAGCCTACCGCTCTGGAAAACCCTAAATGGAATCTGGACGAGTCGAAAAATTCCCAGGAGTTGTTCAGGGGTGGTCCATCCTGATATATCCGGTTCTTTCCCTTTGTACTCGGCCGCCCCATTGCGGACATGGCCGAACTGTTTTTTCTTTGAATTTCTTTGAACTGTGGTTCAATGTCAGGACTTGGTGAATTTATTGACACTTGGCAAATAATTTCACCAACTTTTAATCCATATAGATTCGCGTTTCGGGCTTTCGCCCCTCATCAGTCTGTTACATAAGTAGGTTGTATCTTGTGGACATCTATCAGGTACCTTCCGCACTACGTCTTCCCTCTCCCCTTTCCTTCCCTGCCGACTTGACGGCCTCCCCCGCACGCCTCGCAACATGCAACGTCTCACTCCCAGAATGCCGCACCTATGACTGTATATACATTCTATTTTAATAGTTATAACCAGTTTTTATGAATTTCTATGCTTAGATTCTTGTTAATATTATATTTGTCTGTAGTAATTTCGTAGCTTTCCTTAAATTTTCTTTTGTACCAATTTTTTTCTTTATGTACTATTATAACGTCATTCTCACAAAATCTTCGAACTGATTAACGACGGTACCAGTCGACCCCCTATAACACCGTTGATTATTCCGTTTTATATGAATTCCATGTTGTACGAGTCACTTAGATTTTACAAATACGTGTGCCGGGCTGTGAACGGCTCATGTATTTGTAAAATCTAAGTGACTCGTACAACATGGAATTCATATAAAACGAAATAATCAACGGTGTTATAGGGGGGTCGACTTGTCCNAATCGGTCCGAATCGTAGGTGGACGAAAATATGAAATAAAATAGTTCAAATTCTTATAAGATATTATTATTATTTATTGTGAAAATTTGCCGCCCCCTAAAAAGTGCGGCCCGGGACGGGCCGCTCCTGCCGCCCCCCTAGGCTACGCTACTGAGCGTATTAGTGTACAAATAAAGCTTTTTAGCTTGCCGACCGCCATAGTTCAAACGCTATCGTCCCACGTGATCTTTATGACGACATCGCTAAACGGTCCTCCTATTGGTCTAATTTTTACCGTGCCGCTTTCCGTAGTGGCAAAAGTTAAAAATTTTCAACTTCGTATTCCGTCGACGACAAAAGTGATTCCGTTCCGTTGTCCGTTGCCGCATGTCGGTACCAGGCTTTACACGTGTAGCGCTTTATGTTCGCTGCAGCGACCTCTTGCAGCAAACGTTTAGAAACGGTCGGCTACACATTGCAGCGCTGAATTTAGAAATGGGTTTCAGAGTATACACTGTAAAGCGCTTCTAAAGCACTGAATAAAGAAACACTGCCAAAGTGTTTCACTTCACTTCAGCCTCAGAAGTACAGTCCTTCGTCACTAACTTCAGCATAGTGAGACACTTGTCGACCAGTATCGAATCTTGTACCCATTTATAAGCAATTTCGACTGGAATGACGGAATAGGATTTTTTTTCCTTTACTTGAGAAAGAACACGTCTCTTTCTAGGATTAGAATCAACTTCCATCTTCCGCTTCATCTTGCTCGTTTATCGTGAGACAATTTTCGCTTTTTTCATCAGTACGGAATCGGCCTTCTACTGATTTAGCACAGGGCGCGTTTATCGCTGGTGTTTCACAACTCTAAACCGTTTATTTACAAAACGGCTTCTCGAATTTTAAAACGTTTATTTCAAATCCGTCNAAAATTTTTAAATGTTTTTTAAAAATAATTTTCTATAAATAATCTTCATAAAAATTTTTTAAAAATAAAATATATAATTAAAATATTACAAAACGAAGGCTAAATACGAATAAAAATTTGATGTCTTCACACTTCCTTACCTACTACAGGAATACAATTTAAGTAATATTCTAGCTCTGTCGTCAGAGTTTTGTTTATGTCTCCAATTCTTTAATCGCTTAATTATATAACTACTTCTTGAGTCGAAACCAGTTACTTTGTACCCGAATATTTGTAATCTGGGGAAAAAGTGAAAAAAACAAATTTTTATGACAAACGGATACATAAATCGTAAATTTAAGAAAAATAAATTCTACAGTTTTTTCTGTACCTGGTGAATTTCTCTCGTTCATTAAATTTAGTGGTAAATGACTCTGTCGAGGTAACAGTTAAGTTTTTAACATTATACGAGAATTGTACACGTTTTTTTTCCACAGCACCTTATATAATAAATGATATATACGAAATCGTAATATCGCTGGTTTAACATTGAAGTCCGTGAGTAATATAAAATCGGAGAGCAGAATAAATATATCAGATATTTTAATGGATTTTTTTAATTCCTGTCAACTATACAGAAACCGGTTTCTAGACAAATTTGCATCAGTTGCCATAAACACTCAAATATATCAGTAAATCTTCGATAATTTATACTTTTTCAATAGGTGGGTACTGCAAAAATGGTCCAAAATACAGTATAAACTTTTATTAGGTGTATATTTTTAATAACATAGTAAACGGAAGTTATTTTTTGCGATTTTACTGTCCACAAAACTGATTGACAAAAAATTTCAGCAATAACAATGCCGAATGAAAAGAAAAGACCGGCGTTAGAAAGAAAATTTATATCTCTTCAAAGATAAAAATTTTGAATCGAATTAAGGATCATGAGCAAATAGTTAATATTGGTAGACATTTTAATTTAAATTAGTCAACAATTCGGTCGATTAAGCATTCGAACGAATAGATTATAAATTCGGTCGCATCCGGATCATCCATTCTTGCGAAAAATGTTGCTCGTGCACCTATTCGCATTTTTCACCGGATGCTCGCTCTCTGATGTTTAAAAACAAAACTATTCTATCTGGGTCGTTTGATTCATTCTTGTCTATTATCAGCAGTAAAGATGAAAAGCGATAGAAAAAGCAATGCTTACTGTTGGTTCTAAATTTCAATTTTAAAGCCTTACGAGAGCCTGATATAAGTTTCATCTATTCCCACACAAAAAACATGAAAAATAGATGATTATTCGGAAATTAATCGGTTATATATATGAGCTCTGAATTCTGAAAGAGTCGATTAGACTGTTAAAAATTTGCAGTTTCCCGATTGTCCAGCTCTACACGAACAAGTTAAGCTGTGAATTTTAAAATATTTTGTTAAAGTTTAAAATGCCAGAAATTTTCTGTTAAACACAAGGTTGGATCTAAGCATTTCGAAGCCCTAAGCTTATCTCTGTAAAGCCCCTTACGAACCCTTCACAATTTTAAAAGTCAATCATATAAAGAAANTTTTAAAGATATTCTAAAAAAATTAAAAAACTTTGGTTCATATTCTCTTAGTTTTTGAAACAACGTCACAAACATTCCATGCGTCAGTCTATCTCGTAATATTGGGTGCGCCCAAAATTCTCTTTGCCTCTGCCAAAGTCTTTTATAGCGACGATGGAGGAGGCACACACAAGCAATTACTTTCGCGTCCATTTCCAAATTGAGCCAGTGCACACGCTAAACTAAACGGTCGTCGAACGCCGAGCTAACGCGCGGTGTGTATGCTGCTAACGCGCGTTTAACGCAATGCAAAACGCCTAATGTGTACACAGCCTAAAGCTTTTTAGCTTGCCAACCGCCATAGTTCGAACGCTATCGTCCCACGTGATCTTTATGACGACATTGCTAAACGGTCCTCCTATTGATCTAATTTTTTCCGTGCCGCTTTCCGTAGCGGCAAAAGTTGAAAATTTTCAACTTCGTATTCCGTCGACGTCGACGGCAAAAGTGACGTAGTTTTTCAATAATTTTATAACTTGCCCAGTGTTGAAGAAAAGTCACTTCATTGTGCCAGTATACAATACATAAATACAACACGGTTTCGACAACAATAACAAAATTTTATAACAATTATTCATACGTTTACTTTCAAATAACGGTGTAATTAAAGCTTTAAAATATAATTCCTCACATGAACTGTGTTGGTTAAATCGGATAGCACCACTTGACATTGTGAATCTTCATCGATTTCAGCTCTCAACATTGAATAAAGAGCACAATTAATGTGTTTTACTCTTTTGATATAAGAAAAATGTTGGTGCATTTGATGATAACGATACTGGTATTTTTATCCTTTTTGGAATTACACAATTACTAAAGAGACATCCATCTAATGTGTATATCTTATGTTGTAGAATTCCCCATTGTTGTTTTTCACTGGTAACACTTTCGTTTTTATAATTATTTAATGCAAAAATCGTTGCTGCTACATGTTTACACTGACCATGGATACCTCCCTTGCACTTACACGTTGCTATAACTATTTTTCTATCTGCTGATAACTGATAATTAATTTGTATTAAAAATAATTCGCAAAACATGTATGAAATATTTTTATTAAAGAAAAATTCAACAGTATACAGCTTAATAAAAGTAGCGATATACAATTTTGTTATGCAAATCATCCTGTTTGTTTATTGCAGAGAGGTTATGCAGACATGTAAAATTATTTAAAAATGCAAATTAGCAATTTAAATGTAAAAAATGCCTTAATACAATACCGTTTAATGATTTCTCATTCATTTTCATTTAGAGTAAGCAAGTAGCTGTAACTGTACTTCCTCCATCGTTTTTAATTTCTTTAATTGAAGTTACATGCTTAGCCTTTGCAAGTAAATTCCTTTCTTCCATCTCGAAGGTGTAAAAAATTTGTCAGTATGGACTGGTCGAAAACCACATGTTAAAATTGGCATTATTGACTAAAAGATGAAAATTACACTCCANCGCGAATCTGGCGTTTTAGAATATGACAATGCAGAGATTCTTCTCCACCACTAATATTCAAATATATAATAGGAATCTTATTTTTTTTCGCGTGTAGTATGGAAATTTGAAAAAAGATACATAATACAATTATAATATAATATTGTGCGATTATTTTCATATAATTAAAATCAATATGTATTTTTTTTTTTATAAAATACAAGCGAAGCGGCGCTTCCACCGCTTTTATGACAGCACGCTACTGCATTGCAGTAGAGAAGAGCTATCTCGTTGGAAGTCTTTTGGAGTGGTGAGTAACATTTTTCGTTATTTGGTGCCTTTAATTGTGTAGGTCGATAATATATGGTAAATATAAATATATAGTCAATAATGAATATATTAATCACTGAAAAAAAAGACGGCACTAGTGCAGTTTAGGAGTACAGCTGTTGAAAGGTTATCTTTTATTAAATAAATAGATTCTAGATTAATTCGACTGGAATATTTCTAAAACACGTATAACGTTTTGGGAATAACTTATATAAAATATGTTATAAAGAAAAATTGTCAGAACACGAAGACGCTATTACTTAAGTTCGTTTTTGTCGCGGAGAGGCACCTCGACTTACGAAGCCGACATGTAACAATTGTCGGTGCTATACGGTGACATGAGTACTCATCTCTGACGCGTTTTCTGATAACTTACTTTTTTCTGAAGAATTCGCTGAACTTTCGATACATAATTAATAGAAATATTAAAACTTTATTCCATTTCAAATATTAATTAAAATCAACATATAATAACGTATAACAATGCAATATACAACTAATAATTCTGCTCTGCTTTTAAATAGCCTAATCTCTTTCATGTCTTAAACAAAATTGAATTCTATTTATTTACACCAACACAGCCGTACCCCCTGAACTGCACAAGTTCCAGAAAGGCTAGTGTAGAAAAGACAGTCGAGAGCAGAAGTATTCAAGATTTCGAAGCACGTATTCACAAAAAAGTAGACATAAACAAGGAGTGCATCGACGCCTCGATATATATTAGAATCGAACTAAAAGAAAACGCGAACTGCAGGTTAGGCTTTTTTATTTGGGGACTCAATAATAATCATCATCAATAAATACTTAACAAAATCAGAAAATGACTTTTTCAATCGGCCGCAGATAAATAATACAGATTCTTCGACTTTATCATTTTTTATTTGGTATATTTTTTATCTGCTCTTAATAATAGAAGGCCTTGGACTTTTATTAAAAGTCCAAAATTCTTTAAGTCCAAGTATAAACATGTGAAATCATTTGATCATAAATTAATGGCTAGCGACGAATATTATATCAAAAGTTTGTAATTTTTAAAAGATCAAGATGTGCACTTTAACATTTCAAACCTTAATTGTCTACTTTTTATTAAAGGGTCAGAGGTAAAAGTCTTCTATTTTATTAATAATTGTTGTATTTATTAATTGTTTGTTATCCTAAAATTTCTGTCATTCGATATAAACTCCCACTGTAGAAATGCTAGGTGCCATTGCACAAAACTGCCTTCAGTTCACGACGACTCTTTCTATTTTTCTGCTTAAATTTGAAACGTGGCGTCAGGAAATCGCTAGGTATGTGGTGCACGTAACACAAGTCCAATATTTTGTTCATTTTCCCGAAGTCTGATTTGTGATTCAATTTTACGCCGAATTTCGAAATAGGAAAACAAAAAATTTTTATCGCCATTTAATAGAAATATCGCCAGTTATGATTTTGGCGCCATGCAACACAAACCCTGCAAGTGATGTCGATTCTGACTTGGACGTTGCCGACGTAACAGTCACACATCTACCGAGACTGAGTTTTGCTTAACCAGATATAATGTCATAATTTTTAATTTCTTGTCTAAATTGTATTTTCTTTCGATATTAATCTCAGACTCGCTAGCAAAAACTTACCTACAGGAACACTACTTTCAATGTAAAAATATTTTGTTATCTATTTTTTAAAGGAAAGTTAATTTTGGGTTTTTTGCTCGTCTCTAGTCCTTATTACATATAATGGTAAAACTATATACAATTTTGACGCTGACCGATGAGATGTTTCAACCATAACGATTACATGGCGACTGGGTATTAATATAATTATACGTCACAGCTGATATATGCTCTGTTGTTATAATTTTATATGTTATTCTGTTTCATTCACGTAATAACAATCTGGTTGACAAGTACAAATTATTATTAAACGTTACATCCGTTTTTCTATACATTGATTCTCTGATTTTTAAGAAAGTTTTGATTGTTTTGTTCAATGAGCCAGCAAGCATAATAATGTATTGTTTTAATATTTTCTGTATGTTATCAAAACTGACCGGTATGTAATCTAGTTTATTATAAATTATTTGTTTTAGATATTGTTTGTTTTCTAGCGTGATTGTGAAACCAATTATCAATAATTTTGTTGGGATAAAATTATCAAATTTTTTAACTGTGTATCAAAAACGTTAAGAACAACGTTATTCTCTATTTCAGAGCATACATTATCGTGGACATTATTGACTTAGTGCACTATCAATTCAAAGTCGAGTAACTTTATGTCGTAAACATGCTTTTAATAAGTTATGTGCGGATTTTACTTTTAACGCAATGAATAATAATAGTAATAACAATGCTAATCATACGGTAAAATAATAGATAATTTTGTTACACATTAATAAAAAAAAATTAAACTTGTGTACTTGAATTTCTGAGCGCCAGTGCATAATATACTACGAACTAGTCTTTCGCTTTTAGGAAAAGCTGAAATTAAGCAGACTTGTAAACTAAACAATTAATTTTCACAGGCACGTTTATCGGAAACGTTTCAGAAAAGGATTTTATTATTTGAACAAACAGCTGTTTATGTTTAGAGCTACACGTTTACCAAGTTTCGTTCGAATCGGAAATCTAAACGTCTGGCCCTGTCCTTGTAAGTTAATATATTATTTTTTTTTTTACAGAGAATTTCAAAAATAGCAGAATCCACACACAAAAAAACAACGAAAATATATGCAATATCGCCACCTAGCTGCACGTTAATCACAGACTTGGCAGAAATAATAATAATTAATCTATTTGGATACTTGAAAGATGACGAATTAGATTTATGCAGGCAAGTGTGTACTCAATGGAAAGATGTAATCGAAAACATAATGTATAACCGAGTAACAGCAATTACAAAGGTAATCATTATAACATTATTTTGTTGATTAAATGTTCTGATTATATAATTGCTACAAATGCTCAAAATTCCAAATTCGATTAACATAAATCATTTCTAAGTTACGGAATTTAGTTTAGAAAATATTAATTACTGAAATAACGAATTCTACTTCCTGATTTTGGTAGAAATTACACGATTTGTCCGTAAAATTGTTAGTTTTCGCTTTCTGAATCTAAACATTTGTAGATTTTTCAGTCATCGATAGATTCAGTGCTGTGTCTTAACTCGGAGTTCGTTTTTCTACGTGAGGTGTTTTACTTTTTTTTGTCTATATTAAACTTCAATTTCATCAATAGGATAACGATGTGTAGCTTTTAAAAGACTATTTAGACTGTCTTTTTAAGGTTGTAAGTTTTTATGTATTTTATGCAAATGTAGTAAAAATGTAGTTTTTTGGCTCCAATATAAATTTTACGACATTGTCATATGTAATTTAAGTTTTAATTATGTTTTCGACAGGGCGGTGGAGTCGCGTAAACTGCACAACTCCGACTTTATAGCCCTGGTTTTTGATTTAAAAAATGTTTAATGAAAAAGCAATAATTGACTATTCTTTTAATTTCGTATTTCTTGAAATACGAAATTAGAAGATGTAAATTTGTTGACATCTTAATTTTAAGTTTAAAGAAGCCTATCAATTAAACAGATTTATTATATATTTATTTGTAGAAAAGTTCATAATTTAAACGGATCTGAAGAGTTTTCATAAACATTAACGTCAATACATTTATACAGCACTTTTAGAATAATTAGATTGCTGTAAAATAAGTTTTTATTAATAACATTATGTAAGTAAATTTACATTTGCTGTTAATATTCTGATTTATTTAAACAGAAAATTCCTCTTACTGTATTAGTCACTGCAATGTACGAATCAGAAATTCTACGTCCCTACGTCGGTTCGACCATAATTTCCAATTTAATTGGTTTATTTCAGTAAATCGACCTGGTCTTATGGTTCTATCTAGATATGGTCTAAATGGATTCGGTGAAAATACAGTTGCTCCAATTCCTAACCATATTTACTTTATGCATTTAATGCCTGGTAAGTAGCTGTACTATGTAAGTTTGAAATTATTTATTAATTGTTAATAACAATCACGTTTTTAATTCTAGGAAACTGTTATGGAATCGCTTTTCCTCCACATTGTATATACTCATCAATTGAAATAACGGAAATACAAATAATATTGTTTCCAAACATTTTAAGTTTTAAAATTTTTAATCATTCGTTTACTCTACATTCAAGCGCATCTATACTTAAACAGAACCGTAATTAAGATTTCCTGTCAGTTTTTATCATCCGAAGACAATCAAATGCCAAATTTTAATTAATTCGGTTTAATTAATTCAATAAATCCATTTCCACCAGACAAACAAAAGTCGTTCTCTACATATAAACACACTTNAAATTTCTACTATAATTTTTTATAAATTTATTTTATAAAATGGTGTATTATAAATTATTTTGATTTTTTGTGGGAGCCTATTGTAAAGCTTTTTATGTCAACATATAAAGCTATAAACTATTATAAAATAAGTATTACTGTGATATAAAGAAATTTTTGTATTTGTGTAAAAATATTCATATAAAAAAGCTTTTATAATAAAAGTTCTTTTACACTTCTGCGTGATATTGTCAAATTTCGGAAGAAAACATAAAATAACAAGATTGTCTAAAGTAATTTTTTCTTATCTTTATATATCGATTGTTTTTTACAGAATAATTTATTTATATACAGAAATTCGCTAAAATATCGTAGATTTATTTGTCACCCACATTATTGTTAGAAAACAAAACAAACCACAGCTTTCTAGGTACAGCAAGTGAGAAGTTAATGCCGTTATTTACACTACTTTTCTAATTACTTTTCTGGGAGGGAGTGGAGAGTCATCAAGGGTTCAAGTCAACACCAGTTTCTTAGCTATAATGTATAAGAAACATTATTTTTATATTATTTGGACGACTTTTACAATAATCGACTATACTAAGCAATTTCGCATGCGATTCTTTACATATTTTCTCATATTATGTAACAGTTAGTGGAAAAGATCAGTTTCTCAAATAATTTATAACTTCTCTGTTCTAAAATAATGTTTGCTCACCTAAATACTGTCTAAAAACAATAAATTAGCTAATTAGAGCTAAAAACGATAGAAACAAACAATTTTATAGCAATTGTATACGTATTTCAAAGATTGTAGCCTGAGTTATCACTTAGCGGAAATTTGAGCTTTACTCTTTTCACAGGTTGCTGATTCGTTGATCTAATATCAATATAAACAGAAAGTAACCAACTACAGTGTAAAAAAGTTGACTATCAACTTTATCAGCCAATAATCTGCCTCCTCACTTCTAATTACTTTACACTGGGAGAGGACGGTATTTTTTCGCGAAATATTTATGGCCCGGAGGTGGTGACAAAACATTTATTGGTTGATACAGTCAAAAAACACATACAAGAAAGCAAATCAAAGCTTAGATCGATACAGACTTGATTACAGTTCGTACAAAATAACTCCTTCCATTCTTATATCTATGGAACACTCTTCTTTTGTTTATTGGATGAAACAAACCTTCGTTCACATGCCTGTTGAGCAGTAATTGATAAATTATAGCTAATTGACTATCCTTCGACGAATAAGCATCGACTAAGGTTTGTAGGGTTGGAATTTTCTGAAAAAAGCCATTCCTTCTAGGAGACACTTTGTCAGCTACAAACATATATAAACAACCATAAATCCTTATTTTTACCTGAGTTTAGTAAATTTATATGTATATTCATACTGTTTTACATTTATAAACGTTTTTCAGAATCATCCAGCCATAAGTCTTTCTAAAAAACAAAGTACTTCCGGATTATTATGGTACTTCCGTAATATCAATACTTAAAAAATAATGCATGTATAATTGTTCATATAATAAGGTAATAATCGCTTATTATAGTGCTTTGTTATTATAATAATATAAATAACATAAACAATATCAAATATACACCATCCATGCACAAAAGTGTGTTGACCTAGATTTACAAAATTAAACCACCCCCCCAAACCAGTAGCGTTGTAAACTATAGGCAATATTCTATCTCTACGTCGGTTTAGAAAGCTTCAGTTTTTGTTATTTTGAAAAAATATACCAGTCTACGTAACATATAACAGATTGATCGAATGATTACACATAAATTTTTTTTATTTTTTCAAATCTTGAATTTTAAAACTTTTTGTAAGCATATAGCCTATATGTTATAGTCAACAATCATAAACAGTGATGTGTTATTGATATTTCTGTAAAATTATTTATGAATAAAAGCATTTAAAAAGAACTTCCAAACACCTTCATGTAATTATCAATTCCCAGATGAAGCACTTGTAATAAAAATGAAAATGTGTATTGTACTGCAAGTACAAATGTTTCTAATACCGGGGTTCTCAATTGTTACAATTTATGACTGCAATAAATAATGTCAAATGTTTGTTCCTAGAATTTCTTTGTTCTTCTTTCCAATACTTGGAGAAATTCTCACTCGTTGTCTTGCTCTTCAGTAGACACGTTTTCCAGTGCGCTCTTAGAAATATTATCTAGATAAAATTTATCCAGTAATTTTCAAGTAAGTTTATAAAAAATATATTAT